ATTGGTAGGAAGACTTAGAGGAACGCACCTAGTCCGGAGTCCATTTTATGCATCATCATTTCCAGAGTAGCCCCGTGGACGTGGTACATTTCAAGACGTTTCGCCGGCATTGTAGTTGGCATCGTCAGTGAGTGTCGCCATTCGTAGCACCATATTACAACTCGTCAAAGAGAATAGTGAAGCCCATCCTTTGACCAAACGTGTACTAAACTGTTGTGGTATATCCCCTTCTGCCCTGGGCTATTGTTCCTTTAACTTTCAAAGACAGTTTCCACGTGTCATAACTTATGGCTACAATTGATTATTTTCTTTTCATATTATCGTTATTTCGAGTAGTTGTCATTTGATTTAGGTTCCTTTGATTTGTGCTGTGGATAGCCCCAATGAGCGTAATAATTATCCGTAAGCAAGAGGTTGTTTATTCGCAACTTAGTCGGAGCGTCAGGGAGACCTAGTCCCATGTCTTCTGTCATAGTATTCGTGATTTACAGCATTGGACCATTGGCTGGGTACATTTTCAAACGTTTCGCCGGCATCGTCAGTGAGAGGCGCCATCAAAGTGACAAGAGGTTATTTATTCAATTATGGTCCTTAGATCCCTTCAAGCGAAATAGGGTGACTACTTTCTTACTAAAGGATTATTGATAATCACCGAACACGATAAAATATAGAAGTATCATTCTGCCATCTATCTGTGTCCTTTTAACTTGTGTAGACAGAGTTTGCACATCATTGGATATAGCTGAACTTGATTATATTCTTTTCACATCTTCATCCTTTTTATATGATCTCCATTGTCTCATCAGCAGCCTCAGTATTTATGGTTCACAAGGCAGACGTGAATTTAATATGCATATGGCAAGGCAGTATGTAAGTAACATGTCGAGTCTAAGCGCTGCACTACCCTAGTTTAATTCCCGCTGTGGGTGCTGATGAGACCTAAGCGAGGCTTTAGATGCAGTTAAATCGGTATGAGAATACCCTTTAGGAAGCAAGACTATGTGAAATTTAATGGAAATGTGCGATCTAATCTTATAATTGTGCAAAAATTCAGCTATCACTATCACAACCTAAAGTGACTAGCACTCTTACTAAGGACATTTTGCCTTTAAAGATGTTTTGTTCGATGGGCTCGGACAACTTATGCGCTATGGTTTCGGCAGATACGCCTACCCCCACTTATGAATACTGATGCTGCTTTACAAACGTACTTGTATTCACAGGAACATAAAGGCTTTGAAGGAGTGATAGCCACTATTATTTTTTGATGAGATAGGGCTCATTTTCTACTATTATTCATTGAATTTTTATTGGGCCATACACTCCTTTCCCTCAGTTGCATTTGTCTTAAAAGCATGTTTATAAATATTAATGACTATTTTGTACGTGGTTTCTCTAACGACTTTAAAGCATTACTTTGTCATCGAAAAGTAAAGGGGGCTTTGAAAAATGCTTAATGTCAGTTCCTCAGATGAATATACGAAGAGTGTAGGAAGAGGACCCGCTCATAGTAATTAAAAGTAGGCTTCGATGTTACTGCTCTAGCTACGAAAGCAACTTATTATACTGATGACCAACGGCTACCAAACATACCTACTCTTGGGAGGTCCTGAAAATTAATATTAGCGCATGGTAGCTTCAAATTGAAAGAAGGATCTATCTCGCCTTGCAAAGTTGTATAACTTTAACCCAGTCATTCTCAAGTCGATTGATTTCAAAATTCATGCATGTGAGAATATCCGTCTTTGGTTAAAATCCCGCAAGAGAAAATAAGAAGCCCAGGCGAGTTTCAAGCTGCAGTCCAGGCAAATTAGAACTTTAAAATGCATTTTCTTGAAAAAGCTAAGCTTCCTCTTGATTTTAGACAGTTTGCTCAGCTATTTGTACCTTTACAACCGATATATCAAAAGGATGAGTAGTTTTGAGATATTTCGTCTCGGTTGAGAGCACGGCACTACAATCTTACAACCATATTCAAGTTTTCTTGACTCGTTCGCTTGAATATGGTTGCAAGATGATACCCTGCTATGATAAAGTTCGTCATACGACGGATGAAATCTTAGCATATTTTAACTGTAATCAAAGGAGATTATCTCGGAAACAGCGTCAACAAGAATGTACCAACAAAGCCAATCTACAGCTAATCAAGAGGAATCCGCCGTCATCTTCTGGTGGGATTGAATTTAGAAACAAGAGATTCCTCGAAACCCAACTTTTCTTCGCATAAACCAACTTTAATTGCAATATTATTTATGACTAACCGATAGTTCCCTGTTTTATACATTTATGTTGATTTTAAAGGATATATGCAAGCTTGAAACACGTACAACTTTGTAATATGTGAATTACCACCCCCGCTTTATGCTGAATGGTGGTACTGTGGCCAAAAGAATACCTATCAAGCCTCTTCATGGAAATGGCCAGTTATGCAGATGAGCATCTCAGCTTACTGCATTTTAACTCTGTGTCAAGTTGAAGGGTTTCCAAGAATGCTTCTATGATTGCGTCCATCCTTGCAACCCACACTTCTGGCACGGGTCTTTTATCTCAGAGCCAATGCCAGGTGAACGCCTAAGATCCTAGGCCGATGGATTGGATAATTATGTCGCCGATTATGAACTCTTGCAATATGGCGTAGTGGTTAACGTGTCGAGATTATACTCTGCATTGCTTGGTTCGAGTACTGCTGGGGGTGCTGATGATATCTAGGCGAGGCCAAAACTATAGTCCAACCTAGATGAGAATACCTTTTAGGAAGCAAGGCTATGTGAAATTCAATGGAAACAAAAGGTACACTCATATCGTAGTGGGAAAACTCAACTAACAGTCTCCTTATTACTCTAAACAAAATGGGATGAATACATCTCATATATATGATCTACTGGTAGTCTCGAAAAATGTGCCATTCCCCTTTCGCAGGGAACTTAACTAGCTATTGTGTTTGTAAATTTGGAGAAGCAAGGCATTCTTGCATTATATGCCCTGAACTGCCCACTCGTAGCTGCGTGGTTTGCAAACTATAGCCAGGAGCCATTAGGCAACTGGAGCGATGGGTCACCTCCTAGTTTCATCCCAGCTTTCTCCTCTCTTCTACTCCTTTCGTTCGGGCTTAACCGTCCTGTTTTTCATGTCACTATCAATCGGGCATTGAGGGCGGGCAATGCTCATTAATGGCTTGAGAACAATTTCTTACTTATTTAAAGATCATCCTTCCTTATCCTCCTTGCCCTTTCTAAGACTCGTTTATATTTAGCTAATTCTGTAATATTGAGGTCCGGGTGCATTGCTTATACGTGTCCCAGGGAGGTAGTAGAAATAATATTGCAGTAACATCTCCCTCCATACTTCTGTACAATTTCGGTCATGAGACCAATCTAGAAATTCGCTTTCTTCCTATGCCAGTTGTTGGTCCCACACCAGCACTCCTTTCAGTATCGGCTCCAGGGCTAAACCTTTTCTCGGGCCTTCCGCCCGCATCCTACTTGGCAATATTGCTTTTTTCAATTTCTCTCCTGATTCCAGACACTGTAAATTTCTTTATGCCCAATCCGATTCCGGCACCGCCGACCTGCTTGCTTGCTACAGTGCTTTCTGGTTTAAGTTAGCCAGTGTTACCTGGCTCAATTTAGGCGCAACTGTATGGCCATCTGCCATTTCTGTTATAGTGTTTGAAACCCTGCAACTTCGTGTCTTTCGTACGAATCCAGCGCCTTAGGCTCTTCCAGCACCAGGTTTATGTTCTTTTCTGTTCTCTTATAAATCAGCTAAATAGTATTATGACCAATAAGTACAATCTACATATCGCTATGCCCTTTGGGGTACAGAATGCCACTAAATAGGCAGGTTAGGGCCCCAAAAAATAATGTATTATATAATACTTAGATAATTTCGTACGAACCTGTAATCTAATATAATATGAAAAAAGGAGATGTGCTTAGTCCATAACAAGATACTTGTACTCCTACAACCACTTTTCAACCTCTAGACAGTCAGCTTTAGGAAAATGAAATGAATCATATTTTGCAGAGATGTGATCTCAAATCACAAATTTCCCAATCGCCTTTTT